TATTTATTATTAATTTTGGATTTTTTTTAAACATAAAGTTGTTTTGGCCGAGTGGCTTCAGCGTGGGACTTTTGGGATACGCCAATAGAAACTCGGGAAAAGAAGAGTGGACTGATGTAATGTATGAGTTGCCGGTATATTATTTCTTTTAACAATCGGAGGTCGTATCTCCCAGGGAAGACCCGCCGCTGGAAGTCGATTCCACAGCTAGTTCGCTTCGTTATAAGTAAATACTAACAACAATTGAAATGGAAATTAAGAATTGAGCTTGCTAGCTTGTTTGTCCATCCCGTATTATAAAAAAATCGGAATCAAATCGACTCTTGTTTTAGGTTCGGTGGTTGAGTACGAAAATTCTGTTTCATAGGTTGGATACAGGTTCATCGCGTTTAACACTATCTCAATGCCGTCAGTTGGATAGTAGCGCTGGTGGCGCAGTGGCGTGCGCGAGCGCAGGTGGTTTACACTCGGGCGTCATCTCTTACGCTACGCTCAATGCACATATCGTAGGCTGGGATCTCCGATCACCTGGTGAGTTTTACTTAGCCGTATAAATTAATACTAACGATCTTTAGTTCCAAGAGTACTGATGGCCTTGGGGAGCGTTCAAGTATTACGTCACGCAATTTTTGGAGACAATTGACCCCCCCCAGGTGTAACGCGCTGTAACGTTTTTCTGTACCCAATAGTAAAACGTTTTTACTATTGGGTACCCGACCCGCATCGTAACGTTTTACAATAGGACCCCCGTCCCAAGGCAGAAGGCTCGCCTGATGTTAAGTGATACCTCCGCCCATGGACACTCTCAATGCCAGAGGGCTCGCGAATGCGTTGCCGGCCTTTTTTGAAGGACCCAAATTCGAATTGGTTCGGAAATACTTCAGTGAGCAGCTGGTTCCACATAGTGGTGATGCGCAGAAAAAAACTGCCTTAAAAACTATCAGCTGTGGAATGACGTACGTCGAGGTGATACGGGCGGAATTTTGTATTCTGCCTCGATGTCTGATGATGAAACAAACAAAACAAAACTTCAGGGTGTCGGTTTTTTGTGACGGTGTGCGCGCGCATCGTAAAAATTTACTCTTATCATTTTTCCCTAACGCGCCAAAAGAAGTATAACTTCAAGAACATCTAAGCTCTTTAATTAGCAGTATTTTTTTTTCCAGAGAATGCTTGGAAGCTCCAAGGTGATTTAAAGCAAGGCGTGTACACGTGCCTATACGCGAATAGTGCGGGATATCTCGCAGTGGGCACGTCGAGTGGCGCCATCTGTGTGTGGGATTTGCGTTTCCAACTACCCATTACATCTGTTAGGCATCCTAACTGTAAGTATACGTATTATTTTAAAGTAAGAGTATACTCGTCCCACAAAGGCCGGCAACGCACTCACTAAAACGCATGCGCAATTGCTCGCACAGCCGGCAACCGCTATCCTCGACTGACAAAGGATATTGAGTGAATGAGTGAACTGACAGGTCTGCTTTATGTCGTATGTGTGTGTGTGTAAGAAATAGTTAGTCCTTTTGTTATATTAATCTATTACTGTTTAATGTTGTGTTGCATTTTTCCATGTGTATGCAGTGTTTTGTGTGTGATATACATGTAAATGGTTGCCGCATTGGAGTAATCCATTATATGGCAGCTTATTTTGTTATATATAAATCAATAAAGAAGCATTGAATATCTGATAATTTTTCTAAAGTATAGGCAGAAAAATTTCTCAATAAGAAAAATATGAAATAAATCTGTGCAACGCCAGTATTCTAAAACATTCTTTTGTATTGCAATCCATTAATAAATCCGTAAGATTAGTTTTTTAGTTTATATCATTAATTTTTTTTGTATTATTTTAGTTTAAGGTTGATAATTCTATAATGTTTTATTTTATAAGATTTGGTTAAACACTCACTTCAACACACACTCAGTTACCCACGATATTTCTTTTTTTAGTTTATTTTTCCTTACTAGGGTTGCCTAGAAGAGATCGCTTGTTAGCGATAAGGCCGCCCGTTGCACCCTTATAATTTGTATGTATTATGTTATATGTTTTTCTATTAATGTAACCAAGTGTAAATAAATAAATAAAACATCATTATAGCGGAACGCATAAGACGTATAGTAGGGTACGGATCACATACGTCTCGCATCTGGGCGGTGGGGGGAAGGGACGCAGCCGCTTGGTGCGTGGAGAGCGCGCATCGTACGCACGCCTTGTGGCCTTCTACGGCCCCTCATCCGCCACTTAACTACACTGCGCCGGTGAGTCATATTATTAGTCTTTGCTAAGAACCTTTACCTTTCTTTATGTACATCTAAACCTACTATGTAAAAAATAAAAATATTGATATACAGTGTAAAGGACTGTGCATTTTATGACGTTATAAGAGTGGCCGTTACGGAGACAGGAAAAATCTGAATTAGAAAAAGAAAAAGTTTCTTTCAGACTAGTGGTAGTAGTTATGTACATAAAAAAGGGTGCGTGTACTTACGTACGCGCGTAAGAAGTTATACTTCTTTGGCATTATTAAAAATAGTTTTTGATTGCATGCAAATAATTAATTACAATTAAATAATCAAAGACTGGAAAAGGAGTCATTATAGTCAATAAAGTTTAGTTTACATTTGAAAAATTAAATAAATAAATATTTATTATTATTCTCTTACATTAAGTGTAACATAAATTCTATTATTATTCGAATGTTGTTTTTAAATTATGTCCAATGCCGTAGCATCTTCCGTGGGCAACTTCATTCTGTTAATTTTGTGTCACGGTGCGCGCGCGTCGTAAAATTTGACTCTCATCAATTTTTCATAACGCGCCTAGAAGTATAACTTCAATAATCTTATCTGTATGCTATTGCGTATAGTCTGTTAATTTTGTCTGACGTCTTGCTGCACCAGTAATTTTGTTGTATTTTTACTTAATTGATTCATATCTTGCCATATTAAGGCATCTTGGTGATAAAGGAAGTATTTTCAAATAATTTAGCTGCTACCAGAGCTTCTTTAATGCTCGGCGGAGGCTAAGGCTCACCCGTCTCAACTTCTTGATGCTCAGTGTTTCTCACTGAATCCAATATTTCTTTGTCATACTAATATGTAAGTGGTCAATAACAGTCTACACGTGCAATCCCAATTTGTAAACAAAAGAGCGAATTTCTTAGAAAGTTCGTTCATCGTTAAATCGAAGGACGTGACATAGAGATTACACTGTATTTATTGTTAATATATTTATAATAGATGCATGTATCCTACATCTGCTTGACAGGTGTTATTGGATTAACCTAAGACCTCACAATGTTTTTCTACAAATAAGAAATTATTTACAGGCTAGCCAATACATAAGCGCGGTATATAGCGGATGTCGCGCGGGTGGAGACAGGTTCTTAGTAACGGGCGGATCTGACTTGCGACTTCGTATGTGGGACTTGAGACATCCAGATGATTCCCATGTACTTGTGCAAGCACCGCATGACACGACACAATCGATTGCGTACAGGTTAGTGTTAGTTATATAAATCAGGTTAAAACCTGTTTTTGCTTTAAGTGTTAGTTCTGTCAGCGATTCAAGATCAGCCAGCATCTATAGTTATGTTATCCGGCACACAAGATTTAAAAAAAATTGACACATTTTCACGAATGTCTAGAACGTAGACAATAATAAGTGGATAATGTAGATCCACTGATTTCACGGAAATATTATGGCTTTGGTGAAACAGAGATATATTATTACCTTAAATTATCTAATTACCGAGTGTACAACAAAAACTTTACGGGTTTTTGAAGTTGGTCCTCGGGGAAACATTGTGTTGGAGTTGGCATCACTATGTCAAACATAAAGTTATTGGCTTGACTAATATGGTTTCCTTACTCACTTTGTTACAGAAGCAGAATAATCGACGGTACAACAGTTATTCAAGAATGTTGTAAATCAAATCCGTCCCCACCATCGTTAATAGAGGATAATGTGTACAGAACTGTGGAATCTAGGACCTTTTATCACACCGCTCCGATCACAGATATAACCCTAGTCGAAGCAAACAAGTGTTATTTAGTCAGCTCCTCTGCTGACGGTGTGATAAACGTCTGGAAATAGTATATGTATATATTTTATAATAAAGTTGTTATCTGTTTTCTTTCATTTAATAATCCTGTACCATTGATCCTTTTTTATTTTCCAACAGGTTAACGGGGATACGTTTTTGCTTTATTTAATTTAAAAAATATCTACGAAAAATTACTACTAAATACATTATTATTATGTATTAAGTAGTAAACCCTGGCAGCAAGATGCATGCGAATTTTGGATAAGAAACAATTTAATTCATTTTTAAAGTAACTTAAAAACTACAAATTGCATATTATACATCCATAGTTGTGGTTGTCCATTGAAATAGTTACATTGTGATTAGATTTGTAATATTATTTGTGTTTATTTGGCTAACACCAACAAGGCAACAGAGAAAAAAATAAAAGCAAACAAGTTACACAAATAAAAAATTACAAAAGAACGTAAGTGACAAGTGCTAACACATTGCCCTTCCTATAATTAGATGGGTGAAAAACTATCAATTGTTCAGGCTCTCTAGCAGATTGCACATTCTCCCAATTCTGTTTAGTGGAGCATAAAACCCTAGAGCACTTTTGGAGGTAAAAAATGTACCTAATCTAAATAAACACAATCAGACACAACACACTGTTAAATGTTTTGTTATACATTTATATCTCTTTGATAAAATGTTAAACTTGTATAAAAATTCAAATGAAAGAAGTTTATTTAAAGATATACTTAAATTATATTTTTACATTAATCCTGTTTTTTTAATTATTTACAATTATAAAATATTATTAATCAGATAACTAATTTAACCATTTTAATTCAATTGCACATCAGCTTTGCACTTTACACTTACTATCACTAGGCTTAGATTTATTATGCTTTCTCGCAGTACAAATATAGTTAATTGTTCAAATCATTCAAAAACATCTGGCGATTGATCTTAAGATTTACTGCTATTCCCTGCTTTTTCTTCTGGTGTTTCAGATAATAGTTTTTCTAAATCAATTCCTTCAAACTTTGAATCCGACTTAGATGCATACTCCATAAAAAGTGTCTTTAAAAACTCCAGATCCTTTGTTAATGTTTTAACTTTCTCTTCAAGCATTTGGTTTTCCGCTTTAAGTTTGTTAACTCTTGTAAATGTTTCTTGTGTTCTCTGCTTTGACTTGTAGCGACTCTTTTTCACTGCCTGTAATTAAAATTAAAAAAATGTTATATAGTAAAATGAAAGTTCTTAAATTCTTCGAAATTTATTACTTAATAAAAAGTGTATAAAACACGAACTTTAATTTTTATGCTAGTTAATTACCTGTTGTTAATTAACATAGTGACAAGCTTTGAAATACCAAAAAATAACTGCTAATTACCTCATTATTTCTGTCTCGTCGTTTTCTATAATCCTCATCATCGTCTTCAGCGCTGCTAACGCGTTTTACACGCTTTACGGGCGGCATATTGTCAATCTCTTGTAATATCATCAAAGTTTATAAATTTAATTGGTGAATTACCTCAAAACTACTCGACTTTGTTGTAAATATTCACCATAATACACAAGTCACCAGGGTCCGTTTTGATTTGGATGACGCAAGTTTTATCATATACTGAATCAGTTTTGATTTGTAAATAGAATTGTTTTATAACGACATTAAAAGCAAGATATTATTCATAAGAAAATATGTAAAAAATTATTAATTTGTATTATTAATCAAATTCTACCTAATAAGACTATAATATTATATTCTAACACTACTATGATATCTGAAAAATATTTTGCCTTACAAATTACAATACAAATCAGAAACGTCAAATGAAACTCAAAAAACACGTCACAAATGACGTGACAGTGACAGATACAGCTGTGCTTACAGTATTTCAATTAAGACTATAGATAACATAAACTTTATATCTGTAGACCAATATTTGACATTCAAGTACGTCATATTTAATTATTGGACATTATTTCGTAAAGACTCGCAGCCGCATACGAACGCGTAGGTGTACTAAAGGCGTAAGCGACACACAAAACCGCGAATTCGCATCGCATCGCAAATATCTGCGAATTCGCACGAACGCACCGCAAGAATCTCCGATCTGCTTCGCATCGCAAATTCCTGCGATGTTACGTCATCCTTGGTGACGCCATTTTAGGTCCGCTCTGAGACAGCTTATAGAAAGACGCGCGCCTTCTTTGTTTTTAAAAAAAAATGGCGAAATATGATATAGATTTTTTAATATCTTTAATTGACGAGCGTCTCGTCCTTTGGGACATAAGTGATGAACATTATAAAAAATAAATTATAATAAATTCTCCCCTTGTACGATCGTTTTTGAAGGCATGGTGATAATAAACTCAAAAGCTCTTCAAATGAAGATATGCTCATTCTAAAATAATCAAGAAAATTATCTTCTTCAGTTCTCAACGCATAGTACTTTTGAGTAAAATAGTTCCCATCAGAGTTCATAATCGTAATAAATGGATGAACCCAGAATCTTCTTTTTCTTTTATATCTATTTAACAAAAACAGCAGTGCAATATTCTTTTTGCGATCCATCTTACGCTTCCTTAAAACACGTCCAGTACGGCTGACTACGAAGGAATGGTCGCCCTACCAAACGGTTTGTCGCACTAAATCGTATCGCAGAAATTCGCATCGCAAGTTTCTGCGATGCGAATTCGCATCGCATCGCATCGCAGTTTTGTGTGGGAGCCCTAAGACGTAATAGATAATAATAATAAACTTTTTTTAAATATTATATTATAATGGATAAACATGAGTTTGTAGAGGGAGTAGCTTGTGCTAGAGCATGTGTTCTCTCGAACTTAAGGGACGATGCTCGATCAATCAAACCACTTACAAACCGGCCTAGGGCTTTAAAGACAAAATTAGTTTTGTGGGACACTAACGAAATAAAAATTTGTATGGAAACGACAGCTCACGCTTTGTCACATGATGATTTTCATACAAATTTGTTTGGCGTAAGTGGGTGACGACTCTTCATCTTCTCTGCCTCTGGGGCCTTCAGGGTCTTGAGGCCCCGATCTAAGATCAAGAAGTTGTATATTATACGAGTATACTTATCAGTCGAATTAACTTTACCGCCTATGTTGCTCTACGATTAATTCCGCTGTTTACGTAAAATACGTGCGTGAATTAATTACATTATTTTGGTATGCTCACGCATTGGTAGTACTTTGTGTATTATTTAAAAAATATTAACTCAGCTGTGATCATCATGCCTTGTCCAAGACCTTTCGCAGGCAATAGCACAAATTCTTGTACTATAATAGTACTTACGTGGACAGGCGTGACTCACTTACTACTTAAAACAGCATACTTGTAATATGTATGGTAACTTGAGATTATGATGTAATAATTTCCATACAAATTACTGAATTTGTATGTTAACGCTAACTGTAGCGGGATATCTTTGTAGCCAAAGGTTACATCTAAATTCGTGGTTCTTATTCATCGCGTGGTAGTATGCTAATGTCGGAACCACTATTGTAAAGGAATTAGATTATTGTCTTAATTCTACCAGGGGTTTTAAAATGCACACTGAACAACTAGATGACGTCATTGGTGTTGATTGTATTTAGTCAATGGTTTCCACGTCTTTAAATATATCAATTAATAATATAGTAGTTACCACGAAATAACCAGATATTTTATCTTATTAAGTGATAATTGTTATAAAGTGAAACCAGTCTTTTCATTTTATTGTAACTATTTAAATTTCGGGCTACCTACATTAGATAAACGCAAAATCTGATATTCTTGCTTTTGTTGTTCAATGCAATGTGGTAGACATCTTTTGAGTTCTATTAACCCATTTTTATCAATCTACACTCTTTGGAAATAATTATTGTTTTCCTGGAAATAAAACAATCTTGAAATTTACGGAAATGATAAGCTTTGCCCCGCCAGTTGTAGAGAACTGAAATGAAAAATTCAGTATTTCGGACTAAATTTTGTTACCTTTTAGTTCCAAAGACAATTATTACAGAAAACATAGTGCTTGTTTATTCACATATTGTTTAGCTAAACTAAAAAACTATGACATACGTTCTGTTTCTAGGAAGAGTCAAGAATGTATAATAGATTTAACTAAAAAAAAATTGTTTAAATTAAGAATATTATTCCCAACAGACTTCAACCATAGACATTCTTTCGTATCTTATCTGTTGAAATGAATTCTGTTTTTAAAAACTACCAAATTGCGATGCGTGCCGCCTATAAATATCCTCATTTTAAGCGGCATCTTTGTTTTATTCGCGTTATCGCTTACGTTTTTTGAATTTTAAATTGGCTTTGACTAATCTGGCTTTATTCGATGCATGCCTATCTCAGTTTCTCGATCGCGGCTCGACGCTATCAAAGGTTCCGCGCTTTGAAGTCACTTCATTGGGTACGATACGAACACGACACGATCTTTTACCTTACGTTCATCATATTATTAAGAATGTCTGTGATGTTAATTTGTCGCAGAAAGTAAATTTAGGAACTGCAATACCGATTTGAATTCCTTTTATCAGTATAATGCTACATGTACCTATAAGCAATCGTGACATTGTATTTGATTTTAACACACAGCTAGTGTTTTATACAAATAGGTACATTATGCATGCATTTGAATTATCGAAATTATGTGCATTAAATTTATTATTATTATTCTATCTTATGCCATTTTGATTAACATTTTTTTAACGAACTAAACTTGAATTTATCTTTTCAAATGAATTTTACGTATATATCAAAAATTTATTTGATAGTGAATCATATTGACAATTAAATTTATTATTAAAAGAAACATGTTATCGCAATGTTAAAATTCAGTTATGAATGTTACAAAATTTGTCCGTCTACTAATATCCTTACAAGTCGTGTGTTGTAAAATGAATCGTAACTTTAGTGCGCTTTTTATGACTACAGTTCTTGTTCTGCTTGGAATGTATCCGTTTATATTTAGAATTCGCATTTTCCAACCTTTCTCGTTTTTTAAATGTCCGGTCTGTTGCTAGCTGTACTTTTTTACTTTTTAACTTGCGTCTCGTTTTCAGCCAGTTTCAATATTTAATGTACTCTGTTATACCACAGTAAATTACTCCTTATATTTAAAAATTAATTGCTGTTTGTCTCGCTTAAACTCGAGAATGGCTGCAACGATTTGGCAAATTATAATCTTAAAATACTTCTGGAAGTTAAGGAAAGGTTTAAAGTTTAAACTGTGGGAAACAACCAACAGATGGTAAGGGTGATGGAAATGGCAACCACGAGATGCAAAAAGGAAAAGAAGACTTAGCGAGAGGTGGGCAGACGATATAAAGAGAATTGGAGGCACAATTTGGACAAGAATAGGTAACATTAGAAAATAATGGAATCAGCTGGTGTGTCACAGGACACGCTGATCACCAAACTATGTATTAGATTAAGTTAGGTTATGTAACTTAAAAAAGTGTTTATATATATTATACTTGGTGGGGGAATAAAGTCTTAATTATAATAACAAAATATATATATCGAAAAGTTTTTTTTACAAGTCGGATTTGCAATATAACGTATATTGATAGAAAAACTATAGAACAAAGACGTTTCTTACGAACGCCTAACTATGAGAGATATACGGTTGGGCCCTAGAGAAAAGTTGTAGAGTTTGATAACGGCCACAAAAAAGTTAAAGACAGCACATGTCCAATTTTTATCTTTCAACAAGTCTTCCGCCGCGTGTTAGCTATATACTCAAACATTACTGGACGCAATTTATTATGGTTTTCATCAATATTTTTTAAAGGTTTTCGAGTCACGGTTACCCGTGCGAAGCCGGTCTGGTAATGATTCCAGGTTTCATCCGCACTACCTCAATGGCTAGGCGTTTCCTTTGCGATCTGGCGAGGTATAGAATCGACTTCCAGTTCAGATCTTTAGGCATGTTCCTCTCATTATCTTCTACTTTCTATTCTCCTCAAAAGGCCTGCACTAACATCGTGTCTATGAGCTGTGGTAGCTGCCTTTAAGGTTGTTCTGTAGGCCTGTATCATATAAAAAAAAAATCTTGACTAAAATTTCGTTTTACTATCTTGATTTAATAATAAATGATTTAAAAAGACCTGACACATTTCTATGCTATATGTACATGTGATATCTATCTCACATAGTATTTACGACGTAAAAAGTTTACCCACATCGTAACGTATAATGATTTAATTATCATTACCGTTCTGTTATCTTTGGTTACTCAGACCCTATTCGAACTAACATTATCGTAATTATACGGCTTGACAATTAAATGTGCCGCTATATGAAGAGAATCATTCAAATATAGTTCTTTTGCATGTAGCTTTAGATAAAATTATATATCAGAAGGAACAAGTTTAATTTTGTGCCTTGATCACTATAATTGGTACGTCAGTGGTGCGAAAGCTGTGGTGGGTGGTGGACGTGTAGTGATAGTGTAAAATGAAGTGGTTAATTGTAATCGG